TCAAATCGGAAGTTCTATGGCGCATTGAACCCGCTTGCGAATTAGCACGAACCGAAGCGCCACCCACAAACCCAAAAAAACATATATAGAACTATAAATCACAACAATGGAACAGATGTCTATAGAGTAAATGGATTTATACAAAATATACATATACATATATGCAAACAAATATATATTTTTGATATTATACCCTAAACCCAAAAAGGGTATAATGTGTTTGTTTAAATGTATGTAACATGCAAAGGGAAGCAACTACGACCTTACTAAGTATATATATTCTTGATCAGCCGAGTCGATCTGGCCATGTCGTTCCATCCAACTCTCCACCTGTCTGTCCACCTGCCTGTCCTTCTTTCTGTCCGTCTGTCCGTGTGTTGAAACGCGTTGATCTCAGAACCTATAAGAGCTAGAGACTTGAACGTAGCTCCTCTAAGTTCCCACGCAGTATGAATTTGTTTCCGATAATCGATAACTTGCCGCGTTTCCAAGCAATCGATAAAAATCGTTATTGTAATTCTGTACTTTGAGCAAATCTCTTGGATTTCAAGAGCTAGAGTCTCCAAATTTGACACGTGGCTTCTAGAATAGTTTATACAGATGAAGTATCTTTCATTTTATAGCTATCGCTCATTTAAAGTTGGCAGAAGAGAGTTCAGGGTATTCCCTAGTCGCCAACTCCCGACTATAGCGCTCTTTTTTTTTTATCGTTTTAATAGGCGGCAAACGTTTCAATTGAAATGCGAAACTTACGCAAGTGCAAGCTTCAATTCAAATCTACAATTAACAATTGCTGCTGTTGTTGTTTTCTTTTTGTTGCTATCCACTCGATAGCTGCCTAGTTAGACGATCCAATTGATGCGTGTTTGCGTTTTTATTTCGTATATACATAGATATATATATATATAAATTTAATATGTTTGTGCGCGAAACTCATCTTCCGACACGGAAGGCGACGTCAGACGCGGCTGCTGTTTTTTTTTTTTATACTTTTTTTGTTTAATTTATTTGATTTTTTCGCTTTTAGTTGCTTTGAAATTGTCGCAGCGAAATTTTGTTTTTTTTTAGCCAAATTTCAATGTCAGTGGCACTCAACTCTCATGTGCATATTAATGGCTTTATTTAATTGTTCAATTCCATTCGAACTGCATACGCCTTTGCCTTTTGCGCTACATGTGACAAGTGAGAGGCAACGTTTTAAAAAATCCCAGCTCGGTCTAGCGAATTTAGCCTACTCCATTTTCTGTAAACACATCTCGCTTGGGAAGCTGCTAATTAGCTGCCTAAATGCTGTCAATACGATACGAATAAACATTACTCATAATTGCCGTGCTTGATTGTTACTATATTGTGAGTATATATGTATATATGCAGCTACAAGTCATGATTCGCAAATTCAATTGTTTGTTTTGCTGTGCTGCTTTTAAACATCCGTTTTTTTCCCATTTAAACTGAGATATTTCGATTTAAGCTTTCGGTAAGACTTTGCGGAAATAAATTTCCCCGCGCTGTGTCCATACCTTTTATAGGCAAAATATCCCACCGCTGTGTCGACTGCCTATAAAGGAAATTTAGAAAGGGAAATTCGAAAGGGACGTCAGGAAATTCCGATCGGGTTTAAACTCATTTTCGAAGATCTTTGAGAGGTTTTTTAAACATACCTCGGGAGAGGCCGGGGGATACCCACTATTATCCTATATAGACATAGGTCGAAATTTCCCACCCCTATAACTCGGTCAAATCTCATCAGATTTGCACGAGGTTTGTCTCTTTGTTCATGATTTTGTCTCTAGATCAATTTGTCATCTAAATCTGACAACACTATTCTTGGTCAAAATTCATGTGATAATGGTACCCTCAAATGTCCTATATAGACATAGGTCAAAATTTCCCAACCCCATAACTTGGTCAAATCTCATCCGATTTTCATAAGGAATGGCTCTTTGTTCATGGTTTGGCCTCAAGATCAACTTGGCATCTAAAAATGGCAACATGATTTTTGGTCAAAATTCAAGTAAAAAAGGTACTCTCAAATATCCTGTATAGACATAGGTCATAATTTCCCACTACCATAACTCGGTCAAAACTCAACCGATTTTCATAAGGTTTGGCTTTTTGTTCATGGTTTGACCTCTAGATCAATTTGGCATCTAAATCTGACAACACTATTTTTGGTCAAAGTTCATGTGAAAATGGTACCCTCAAATATCTTATATAGACATAGGTCGAAATTTCCCACCCCCATAACTTAGTCAAATCTCATACAATTTTCATAAGGTTTGGCCTCAAGATCAACTTGGCATCTAAATCTGGCCGATTTGCTTTAAACTTATATAAATAGCTCTACATAAGAACTTAATGATAAATATATTGATGTATAGGCAATAGGATATTTATAAAAGGAAAATTCGCAAGTCAAAGGAAATTCGTAACGGAAATACTTTCAAGGAAAATAAATATCTATAAGTATGGAAATAATCGATACAATTTTGGGGAACGTTGTCCGCAAAATAAAAGTGAAATATCAGCCAGTCTCTAAATCTTATGTCTGTCTCAAATCTTTTCATGTCAGCTATCTAGATCTAGACTTAGCACGCAATCAGTTAGCTTTTATTCATTGGCCAATATTAACGATAAATATCAGAAATAAATGCTTACATAAATGACTTTTAATGTTCATTTGATTTGTTTACAATTTTGTGTCTATTGCAATTGTTGTTGTTATTGAACATTAAACAAAATGTCATCGAACTTTTGGGCGATTGTTGTTTTTGTTGTTGCTCGGCTTGATTATGGATTGCGTGTCTGCCTTTTTTCATATTTTTCATATACCAACAAGCTATACTATATATACTTATAAATAAATACGTTTTAATTCAATTTTGTTTCTTTCGATTCATGTTGGGCTGTTTTGTATTCGAAAACGTTGATGACGTTGCCGTCAGACAAACCGAACGCGAACTGTTCAATTGTATGTGGCATGTTAACAACAGCTCAATAGAATACAAAAACAAGAAAACTGCAAACGATTGTTTAAATATTTTGACAGAAGATACGCGGGCAATGATCTACGAGGAGGTCAAAAATAATGTTGTATGCATAATATTTATAAATATTTCCACAAACTTCGCTCAGCAATTTAAATAATTCGCAATGCCAAACTTTTAATTGGGTTTTCACCGCATTTTGTGGAAATATGTCGCCAAATGAGATGTCGAAAGCGGAGCTAATTATAGATTATCTTAACGATTTTATGGGGTTCTAATGCATAAACTAACATTTTCGACTGACAGTCGCCAAATTAAATGCAATTGAGCTGTCTTAATTTGTCAAGAGTTTCGTATTACAGTTACGAATGCATTTTGTTAATCAATTTGGAGGCTTTGATTTTTTACTATTTTTGTTTGTGTCCAGAATTTGCATTCAGTTTTGGCATTTAATTCGCATTTTTATTGCTTTCCTGATGGCCTTTACACGCGTTCCGATAATTATGGCGGGCAATAGATTTGCGTTAACCAACTGTAGTTTTACGATCAATCTAGTTATAGCATATGCGTCATAAAACTACGTGTGCCTAGTAGCTAACGTTTTATACCCACTTTTTACTCTGTGTATTATAGGGAATACTAAGTTATTAAATGACTAATACGAAAAAACCGTAACCATCGATAGACACCTCTAAGAAAATCAGTAAGAAATTGGTCTAACTTGTGCGAACTAGTTCATTTTTTACATTTATCGAGATAGCTGGTAAACTATCGATACTATAGTTTCGATAGTCGATTGCAACCGCGATACTATCGTGTATTTCAAATATTTTACATGATATTAACACTTCTATAGCATGCAAAGTCAACGCTATAAAGTCAACAATCATTTGTGAACTAGTTCATGTTAACATTTATCGAGACAGCTAAAAAAGACAGCTTGCAGCCGCGATACTATCGATATTTTGAACATCTTAGCATAGCATCAACATTTACTCAGTTCGATACTATCGAAAGCTTTCCATATACAATCGATGCTTACAATCGGAGGGCCGATTATTTAATTGGTTTGTTATCGATTGTTGCGATTAAAGACAATCGAGTGTACTAAGAAAATAATACATATGTCAAAAGTCTTGTAGATAAAATAGCAATCGATTCATTATCGATTTTATATTCGATAGTTACCGATTAATTTAAATTTAAACGAATTTATTTATACTTTTAATTAAAAACCATTCTTACTCATAAGAACCTACATACATTTTGATCCTCTTAACTAATAATTCGTCTCTTTGTTTCGTTTCTAGGTAAGTAAAATGCATCTGGAGCACTTTTGACGACACGTATTTAATTGAACGGGTAAATACAGCCGCTGACTCATTTAATTTCCGATACATATGCATTTATCCTATATATAACTATATTTAATGATATCCATTTATTACGGTTGTCGCATGCACTTGCGGCCAGAACTTGTGTTATCATAAATTTTCGCCTGAAAACGTGTATCGATTAATATGCCTGAGAGGGCCTAAACACAATCATGCTTTTGTTTTTAGCATTCTTTAACAATTACGAGTTCAATAGCGTTCACAAGAACTCAACAGTTGGCATTTAAAGCGCATAATTTCAATTTCAGTGTTGCGTATTTTTGTATTTTTTTTTTTTAATATAAAAAAAAAAGAAAACAAATTGCGAGCTAGTTGACAAAATGTCAAACAACAATAAGCAGCAAGTTAATTATATTAAACTGATCTTTACAATCAACGCACTTTATGACTAATTATACAGGTAATTGTAAAATAAAGTAAACTCATTTATCTTGTCAGCACCTGTTAAGAGAGCCCCAAACTGGACAGCAAAATACAAAAAAAGAGACAGCTTAATCACAAGCTGCTGCTGTCTCTCTTCTGTATTAGAAGAGCACACAAATCGGATATCAGCTGTTGTTGTTGTTGTCTTAGAGAGTGCACTGAGATCTTACCATTGCGGGCAACTTCTTGTCAAAGCAGCGTATAAGAGACGCGACCAAAGAGCGCAAAACTCACGCATACAAAGCCAAAAGCTCGGCTCAAATTGTGCTCGAAGCGCGCATAGACACATACACACACGCATGCTGCTGCTGCTGCCGCTGCGTGTGTGAGTGTGTGAGTGTGTAAGACTTACCGCCGCAGCGTCGTTTCGTGCGCTTTAAAACCTTTCTATAAAAATTTCATAAACGTATCAGTTGTCTGCGAAGCGGTGCACAAAACGGACGTCACACGGAAGGTGGCAAAACGTAACAAACAAACAAAAAAAAAAATATTAATAAGAAATACAAAATCTCGTGTGTTTATATATAAAGCATAAAATTTATATATTTATATAGGAAATTAAATTTCAAACGCCAGCCTCAATTACTTATTGTGTATTTAACGTCGCGTTTTTTTGGTTTTCTGCAACATTTTGTAGTCACAATTTGGACATTTGAAATTCGTTGGCAACACAATTGATTATATATAAACTTGTTGCAAGCGCGCGCGCGCGGCATGTTGGCATACATTTAGCAGCGACTGTTTTTCTTTGTTCAACAGTGGCTCCAAACTACGTACGTACGTAGATTCGTGTCTCTTTCTCTCTCTGTGTGTGTGTGTGTGTGTGTTTATAACGCGTGTGTGTTAAAGTGCATTTACTCTGTGATATGGAGCAGCAGCGCTGGCGTCTTGGCAACATTTCATAGCTTAGCTACATGTTGCTGCAACAAACTACGAAAGGTAGAGATCGAGAATTGAAGCGCACAAAAAGTTAACAAAGTGGCAAAAGCAAAAGCAACAACAGCAACAAGCAACACACACTCGGCTCTATGTTTATTGTTGTTTGTTCGTTTGCTGTAATTGTTGTTGTTGTTATTGTTGTTGTTGTTGTTATCTGTTTTGCCGCTTTGTCAAGTTGCGCGCTGGCGCAGAACTTTCTATTTTCTTTGCTGTTTCGTGCTGTGCTTTTTTTTTTGTATAGCTGTATAATCCAAGCAACTGCTCAGATACAAATACACATACTTATACACATATATATCTTTTGTAGCCTTTAGAATTTCAATGAATGAATTTCATAAGAATTCGTACATGTCACACAACACACGCATTTACCGTTGAAATGCCTGTTGAGGTTTTTAATTTTTTCAGTCTTCTGTTCTTTTTTCTTTTACCTTTACGTAATGCTAGAATACTGTCAATAGGTCTATAGCACTATGTGCAAAAACATCCCTACTCCTCTTATCGGGGTCTATGTGCTTAAATGTGAATATTTTGGCGCCCGTTTTTGCAGCAGTTGGTTGCCTGCAAAAAATTGGTATATACAAAATATAAAACTCTTAACTGGCGATATAAATGAAACACTTAGTGAACGACACCTGGGCACAGGGGGAGGGAGGGTATGAGTGGGGGGGGGGATAGTTACCTCTTGTTGCATATGCTCGACTTTTCGAATTGGTATAGTTGTTTTTTATATATATATTTCTGCCGCTGCAACCTGCGCCATATCAATTTCTGAACTTACGTGACTTGAACAAATTGCACTATTTTGCAAATACACATATATATATATATATATATTCATAATGGCATGTTGGTATAGCTTGCAGCGGGCTCCGCAACTGTGTTTCCATGTCTTGTTGGTTTTTCTCTATATATATGTATATTTGTATATATAGTTGTCTTTTATAATTCTTGGACGTCATTTAAGCGCGTTTTCTCTTATCGCCATTCAAGCGACATGACGAACGCTTTATGGCAGTCAAATGTTTTGTTTTTATATAAAAAATAAAGTACACTTAATATTATAATAGATATGTGTACTCGGAAACTATGGTTTTGCGAGTCTAGGAACTGGAAGTCTATAGAGAATGGAAAGGTTTCTATGTCTTAAGAAACTTACGTGCATTTGTATACGATTTTTGAGTTAATCGGATAGTTAAGGGATATAGCTGCTCTTCGATTATACAGATCGTTGAATATATTAGCTTTACACACTCTCTCTGTTACTCCGTTCCCCTCCCCTTCTCTTTATCCTACTATATACTCTCTTTAGACTCTCTCTCTTTCTCTCTTTCGATCTCTCTTACTCTCGCAATCTCTTCTAACTTTGCCCTTGGTCCACGTACTAAGTTCATTCTTTTCTTTTCCCTTTTGTGCGGTATCCTTAATGGTTCTGCTACTCACTGTGCCTAGCTTGGAAGAAGACGAATAATAATTTATCTTTTAAATATATTTTTTAAAAGATCTGAAAAAGTTTAACTTTAGAAGTTTTTTCCTGAAACTTTCGTACATATTATTTATTAAATATAAATATATATAAATCAAGCTTAAATTCCGCCACTAAGTGTTTCATTTAGGGTATAGGCTAGTCGAGCTTCCTATCTGACGCCACAGACATTTGATTTGTTTGATTTTGTACAGTGTCTGCTGCATGTTCCCACACACTCCTTACACTATCTTTGGCTGTTTTCTCAGCCACTTTGCGTCACAGTTGGCGTGTGGCTGCTGTTGCTGCTGCTGCTGCTGTTGTTGTCTCTTCTCTTTGGGCCGTAAATTTCCTGTCCGTGACTCATGCGGTCGTCAGTCGGCCGACGGTCGTCAGCAGAAACCGATAAAGATACAGATACATACGTGTACATACATACTATATACTATATGTATGTGTTTTACTTGAAAATTGCTTACAAAAGGGCAGAAAGGGTACAGCAGAAAATACAAATAATAATAAAAAAAAAGAGTTTTACAGAACAACACAAGGCGAGTAAAAAAGCAGTTCAATTGTTTTGTTGTTGACATTTTGCAACAGTTTTTTTCATTCTGTTATATATATATAAGGTTTTCAGCTTGACGCATGACAAGCACAATAAATTCAACCAGAAGTTATTATTACAATGAGGTCGAGATAAGCAAAAAGAAGTATTTCAGTATTGGCAGAAAAACATTTTGTTTAAGATTGATTTTAAAGCGAACTAAGAGTTGACTGAATATATACTAAAAAGCTTAAAGTTGGGCGTCTTTTAACTATATTCATTTATGCATTCACTTGCAGATAATCAGCTTAAGAGGCGAACTAATTGCCTTCTTTTGAAAAATTTGCGCGAATTTTGAGCGCTGGAAATTTCCCACAATGACGTTTACTTCTTGGAATTCAACACCAATAAATATACACTTTTTTTTTTGCTTTTGTTTTTAGGGTATTTTATGCTTGAAAACAACTCAAACTCGAAACTGGTTGTCGAAGGAGCTTCACTTTTATTTAATACCAAGCCTGAACTTTGCTCAGCTTTCGATTTTTTTTTTCTTTCTGTTTTTTTAAGCAGTTGTTTTTTTCTTTTCCTTTTAGCTCTAGCTTAAACGGTTTCCAGGCCATTTACAGTAATTACATCCGAGGCTGCCCAAATTTTGTGGGTTTTTTTTTGTATCCTAAACCCATTGAAAAGGTTTATAAAGGGTATAAAGTGTGGAGTACATCCAGTCAAGGATCTGTTTGAGAGCTATCAGAGCCAGAGATTAGAAATATATATTCCTGTTAACCAGAATGAATTTATTATCTTCCCTCATTTTCAAAATATCGATAAATATCGATTGGGAGACATAGGAGACATTTTAAGGCATTGCTCGAAGATTATAAGAGCTAAATAATCCAAACTTGGTATTTGAATTCTCACATAGTAAGCACAGCCTAGGAATCATTCACCTTTTGGATATCTTACCCCTTGAAATGGCAGCTTGGGTTAGTTTCAGAGTATAATGGGGAGTATATATATAATGGAGAGCTCATCTAGATATGAGTGAGTCGCTTTTAGAATCCATTTAAGGCGAAGGTATTAAATATATAGTCTTAAACTGAGTTTACAGTCTTCCCTCATTTTCAAAATATCGATAATTATCGGTTAGCAGACTTAATTTCTTAAGCATAACTCGAGAATTATAAGAGCTAAATACAGCAAACTTTGTATAAAGGTTCTCGCATAGTATACACAGCTTAAGAACCTTTCACTTCTTGAATTTCTCTTCCCTTTCTAGCAGCAGCTCGGCTTGGGTTCAGGGCATCTGTTAGTCGGGCACGCCCAACCAAAGCGCTCACTTGTTTTTTTATCTACTCTATTTTTTGTGGGATGTGCTCTTTGGGGGCTGGTGAACTCGCTGCGCGTGGCCAAAGTTATTTGGCGCTACTAAATTTAGTCGACGCTCTCGTTACCATTGTGCAATGACCCAAATCAAAGCCAAACTCATTTGCTGCGTGTGTTTGTGTTTCTTTTTGCTTACGTTTTTTTTTTCCATTTTAAACTTAGTATTAATTTGCACATGAATTGGAAGCTGGGGGGATACTAAAAACAAATGTTTATATATTATTTTTTTTCGGCGGAGAAAGTACGGGTGCCCGTAAATTAAGGTTTTTCAGTTCGAATTGCCGGCTGTTTGGCTTGTGAGTTGAATTAGTTGATTAACAATAATTTGTCTGGGGCGTGTCCAGGTTGGGTTTCATAATTTGCTTGGCAACAAATGCTTGGCAACAAAGTTGCCAACAAACAGCAAACGCTTGGCTCACACACACACACACAGGCAGACAGACCAAAGACAATGAGCAGAAATGTTAAAAAACAAACCGGTTCAAATTGGGTCGTAGTACTTTTGAGTGCAATTGTTACCTTTGAGCAGCAGCTAAACAACAACAACAACAAACTCCACTCATTATGGCTGGCTATTATGTTGGTCTTGTTTCAGTTTTCTTGGCACGCGCTTTAAGGCACACAGTCCACAACCCGCCGCCTACACTTGGACATTTTGTAACATATTTCGCATTCGGTTAGCATAGGTCAGTCTCAAAGACTTGCAGACGGGATGGTTGGGGGGGGGGAGGGGCACCACCTCCCTTAAGGCCTTCGGCTGGCTAACCTTGCTGGTTCTAATGCCAATGCGATGGCATTCCATTGACAAATCGAAGCAAAAACCTAGAAACAAATCGCTTATTAAACATCTATTAACGGGCATTTTGCATACTCACAGCTCTCGCGACTAATGTTAGCCTTCCATTATACATATATTTGTTTCTTTTATACATACTGATATATTTTGCGCTAATTGAGCCCAAAGTGCATAACTGTGAGTTTGCTTTTTTAATAAAAAAACAAAGCTTGACTAGTTCTTGTGACAATATCCAGCTAATTAATACACACACACAATCGCACACACCTTGTCTTATCGTCACACACAGACTTTCGTCTGGGGGGTCTGGTTCGACAGGTTTCTGCGTGCTTTATTAATATTATATAGAATATTGTTATATCTTGTTGTTTTTCTTGTTGTTGTTGTTTTTAAGCACAGCTGTTTTATGGGAAACAGTACTCATGTGACCACAATATATATTTTTATAAATTTTTCGCTGGGCAGTCAGTTCTTTATTGCAATGTCAGCAGTAATCGATAACTTCTAAAAGTTTAAACATTCAAATGAAAGTAAAGTTACATATTATATTTATTTGCTAGACTTGACAGTTATATACGATTAACATTTAAAAAGCAACTTAACTTAATTTAAAAGTGGAATTTATGTTCTTCTATCGATAAGTTGACAAATCGATAAATCGATATATTTACATCGATAGATTTGTCAAGTTGTCGAACACTTAACTTGCGCTTAATATTAAAAGAAGCCTTAACTACTTTAAAATTTGAATTTATCTTCTTCTATCGATAAGTGAACAAATCGATAATCGATCAATTTAAATTGATAGAATTGTCAAGTTGTTGAACACTGAACATTAAATTTCTCAACTGGAAAATCAATACGAAAATATATTTCTTTATCAGAAAACAACCAAATCAGATTTTTTATCAACTTATAGAGAAACTGATCAGTAGATTTATCGACTAAAAAACCTTTTTTAAACCTTTGTGTAATTTGTTAAATGTCTCTAAAGTATTTCATAACTGTTTGTTGATTATGTTAGGCAAACATAAAGTTACAGCTTTTTAGAATGCTTACAAATTGTATAAGAAATTAGAGAGAGGATCAGTTCAATTAATCATTCGAATAATCACAATCAAGATGTGCCAGAAAAGTAACTAATGAAAAGTATAGAAAACTAATATCTAATTCGGTCATCTTTGCTGTAGAAATGTATGGAAATTCATTATAAAGTTAGCTAAGACATAATTGAATTGTTTTACAAAATGAATTAAGATTGATTAATTTAAATAGATAACTAAGTAGATAGACATACGTGGGCTAGTGTATTCAGCTCTTCGGCATTCTAAAATACAATTTGTCTTGTTTGACGCACATTTAGCTGGCTTTTGTTAAATGCAAATGGAATCAGAGCAAAACTCTCAGCTGTTAAGCGCCTATCAAATGCTGTTAATGGACTCGAAATGATTCTCAATTTATGGCTGAATGCAAATATTGAAAAAAAAAAAAACAAAAAGAATTGCGACGCCTTGATGCAGTTTTTTTTGCTTGTTTTATTTATTTTTTGTATTGTTTGCTGTTTTCGGTTTCTTTGTGGCCTGACATTGACATTTGCTGATGCTGTTGCCTCTGTTGCTGCTGTTGCTGCTGTTTTTTATGATCCGCAGTCGCTGTTGATTGTCTTTGGAGGGTTAGCGATATGTGTAACTAAAGCCATTTGTCTCCAGTCTGTCTCCCAGGATGTTCACTTCGATGCATATGCCTGGAGAGCTGCCCTCTAAATCGTTTTCGTCTCAAGTGCCCAAGTTGCCGCCCCATCTGGCCCTCCCCTGCGACCCCGTAGTTGGTAGTTTGTTTGCTTTGTCGGCAAGTTGTCAGTCAGTCAGTCAGTCAGTCAGTCAGTCACCGTAAACTTGAACTGCTCTGCGACTGCTGCCAAGTCGCAAGTTGTTTCCATTTCCATTTGCGGCACTACAGCCTTGAAGTCGCACTCATTTACATACACACTCGCATGTGCGTACTCTTATGCACTTACATGGCACGGCAGCATTTAAAAAGTTCATTGGTCAGCTAATGAAGCCCACCTTCAGATCTTTTGTTGTTGTTGCTGTTGTGGTTATTGGCTTGGGCTTAACTTGCGTCTCTGGCACAATTGTTACCAATTATTTCAAGCTGCGCCCACCCGTTGTGAAACTAGAAATTTTCCATTAATTTGTCACTTGACATCAATCATAAAACTTCAGACATAAATCAGGGTATTATATTTGCTTAGCGCTAAATATGGCCAGCTCTTAAGAACGCCAATAAACCAAAAATAAAACTTGTTTGCTCAGCTGCTTGCATATTTCGCGTTCTCGGAATCAAACACCAAGGAACGCAGTCTTTGCGACATCTTTCAACTGGCTATAATTCTATATATATTATTTTTCTTTAACTAATTGCCGTAACTAACATGTGCTAAAACTTATTTACAATAAATTTGCTGGAATTTGAAAATTTATATGTTTATAAATAGCATTTCGCTTGAAAACATATTTTTTTTGTCCTGCCAAGAATAATTCTTGTGCAAAACGAAGCTTATTTTACCTTTTGGCAAAAATCAGTTGGACCATATGAAATAAGCTGGAACTTAAGCTTTAAGAATACGTGGCGTTCTTTCTGTAACATATCTATGTTATGCTCAGCAAATGCAGCTGTTGCGAAGTTGGAGATATTCAAGTTTTCTGTTAACAGTGTATTTTATCTTTAAATATCTATTCTACTGTTAAAGGTGGCGTTGTGCCGTTTTTTCTGTAACATTTATGCTATCTTACATGCTATGTTATATTTAACATTTGTCTGCTTTTATATTTATTTTGTAGAAGAGAGTGTTCTGTTACACAACATTTTTATGATGCAGCTAAGGCGAAGTACCATGTTAATGTACAGTGTATGTTATCTTTGAGTATCTAATCCACTGTTAAAGGCTAAAATTGCTGATGCTCTCTTTCCATAATATTTCTATGTTATATAACATTCTATGTTATGTTTAGCATTTCTCTGCGGTTATATTCATTATGTAAATTATGAAGAAAAGACCAAGGGTAAAGCTTTACATTATTGTAATGTTCTTACAGTAACATTTTTATGTTTGTAACCATTTTATGTTATGTTCAAAATGAATTATCCATAACAGACAATATAAAATGTTTGCTCCACTCGATTTTGTTTAATATTTTTCTGTATTTTATTAAAAATTCTACTCGAAGAAAACTAAACTTTATAGTGAGAAAATAGTCTATTTTCGGGTCATTTTCGCTCGTTTCATAGCACACCCAATTCCATCGCATGCAAATCCCATAAAACAATCCAAAATTGACAGAGCGCCATCATTTTTGAATGGCATCCACACGACACAAACATTTGAATTTTGTTTTTAATTTATGCCAGGTCGAACAAAAACGAAAACCAAAATACAACAAAACAAACAAATAAAATACAAAATAGATACAAAACTTTTGTCATAAACTGTGAAATGTACTCGTTTATCTCTCGTGCATTCACTGCAATTGTTTTGTTATTGTTTTTGTTTTTGCTTTTCAAGGTTGTCTCTCGCTAGGAATTGAGTTGTATGCGCCACAAAACTTGGATATTGAAACGAAAATGTTTCAAAAAAAAAAAACTATCGAAAAGGCAATTTAAATCGGACCAAAAGCCAATCGATTTTGGCGCGTGTGTTCGACATTATTTTGTGGTTGATGTTATCAACAGTTTTTGTGAGCCACAAAATGTGCAATAAACGAGCAGATTAGCCAAGCCATTTGCATACCCTGTACTCAATGGGGTATACTGATTGTTGTATACATTTTGAAAGAGTTTCATTTGATTTGTTTGACTGTCAAATCAAATCTTTGCTAGATAAGCCTTTCGTGGCGATTTTATTGGCCTAGGAAGTTTGCAGGGAATTCTCCTCTTCGACTCTAGAGTTCTGTTACAAATCTTAAGGTGTTGTAATTAAGCTCCTACTCATGAATATGCATAATAACTTACCTTGTGTTGGATATTTGCATAGAAACTTCTTCTAGAAGAAACCGTAAAAAAAAAGCAGAAAAATGGAAAACTGAAAATTGAAAACCGAAAACAATGTGTAAACAAGTAAAAGCCCAAGCACAGTACGAAACAGTTGAAGGTAAAACAGCAAAGTTCAAGCGCAGCGAGAAAGTTGAACACGAAAAAAAAACAGTTTTTTTTATATTCAAGTGCTTTATTTTTTCTCTTTCTAACAGCGGAGATTGACAAAACACTTTTGTCCAGAGCGTACATTGAACTATTGTTGTTGTTGTCATTCTGATTGTTGTTAACGTGGTTAAAGATAAGTCTAGTTGTGCACATTCCCAATTCGCATCAAGGATGACCACCATGCCGGTGGTGTGGTGCACCGATCCGAATTCGGTTAACAACAAGCCGACTGCATTTGCCCTGCACGGCATACAGCTGCAGGGCAATGTCACCGAGAAGCAGGTGAATGCATTACGCGAACTGGTGAATGCGGCCGCCGAGGGACGTCTTATACTGCCCTCGGATGGCACATTTATGCTGCTCGACAGCGGCCTCAGCATCGAGAGCTCTATTTTGGCCGGCAAGCAGACGCCCGAGCAGACGCCCAGCAGCCACATGGAGACCACTAAGAACACGAAGAATACATATATACTGATGCCGGTTAGCAATAATAAGAGCACAAGCAATGCCACAACAACAACAACAACGGCAACAAATGCCGCAACAACAACAACGGGCAGTGGGCGTGGCCAGTGCACACCGGCGGCCATTGCTGCCGCCGCAGCACAATTGGAATTTCTGTTGGAGCCAAAATATTCAACATTAACGCCGCCCAATTCAACGCCCAGCTCGCTGGCGGACACCACCGGCTCGGAGCCGGGCAATGAGATACTGTACGAGTTTCTGTGCTGTGCCAAGTGCATGAACGAGCAGCGTGCGGGTCATAACGGCACTTGCGGCAGCCGGCGACTGCAGCGCTTCCTGCGGCACTGCAACAGTGGCAACAGTGCAAGTGGCAGCAACAGGGCAAGTGGCAGCAATATGGAGCCGCCGCAGTTCAATGAACCGGCGCTCGATCTGAATCTGAATTTGAATGTGAATCCTGTGTGCAGCATTGCCAGCAAATATGCGCGACGTCAGCAACAGCTGCGTCACAAACAGCTGGCGACCATCTCAATGGGCATTGCACGTAATCGGCCCAATGACCGTCGTCATCATGGCAAATTACCCATGCACAGTGTGAAAATCTTTCATAATCGCAGCAGTTACACTACCACGAGCGTGGGCGTGCCAACAACAACAACAACGACGACGACGACTCCCAGTGATAGTCGCCCAGCAACAACAATAACAGCGACGGCGACGTCGACGGCAGCAGCAGCAACTAGCGCGAGCGCCAGCTTTGCGGCGGGCAGTTTAACGGCGACAGCGGCGCTGTCAACAACACAACAGCTGCCCAGCGGAACGCCGCTCTACGCGATTGTGAGCAAAAAGCGTGACGCGACCATTGAAAACTATGAAAAGAACAGCAGCAGCAACAACAACAACAACTCAAACAACGTCATGTTAGCTGCTGTGCCTGAGGAGCCCAGCCCCTCGAGCACGACGGTTCAAGATCTAATCAGCTTTGACGATGATGAACCCATTGAACCACAAAATGCCAGCTTAGCCAATCCAGCAGCAGCAACAACAACAACTGCAACTACAACAACTGCAACTAGCAACAACTGTGATAGCCAACAAGTGGATCTGTTGTGCGCGCCCAACGATGTGGCCGGGCTGCTGTCCACGCTGCTGGTGACGCCGCCGCCAACGCCGCCGAAGCCCAATTCGCCGGGCTCGAATAGTTCCAGTCGCAAGACAAGCTTTGATTCCACCTGCACCGTCAGCTCGCTGGACTCGGGCTTTATGGAGATGCAGAACAAATTGGATGCCTTGGCTGCCGCGGCGGCTGTTGCTGCCGGCGGTGAGAAGATCGCGCGACGCAACTACAAGGAATGTCTGACGCAGTCGCGCAATCGCCGCAAATCCTATGAAGAGTTCAAAGCCATGTTTGCCGAGGTGACGCAGCCGGAAGCGCTGGCGCGGCTCACACGGCGACGCTGCGGTGCCATGCAGGAGCAACTGCAGCAGCAGCAGCAACAGCAGCAATTGCAGCAACTGCAGCAGCAGCAGCAGCAACAAGTGGGTGCAAGTGCTGAGCTGGCAGCAGCGGCGGCCATGCCCGTGGCGGCAGATGACGCAACGGCAGCAGCAACAACAACAGCAACAACAACAGCAACAACTACAAACGGCAATAACAGCGTGTTGACAACGCTCGCCTCAATATCAGAACAAGAAACCACAAACAACAACAACGACAAGAGCAACAACAACAAGAGCAAACCGGATTGCGCAAACGAGTTTGCGGATGAAATGGATACCGGCGACGATTTAACAACAACAACAGCAACAACAACAACAACGACGGCAACTGTTGCCACCGCCGCCGCCGCCACCACAGAAGCAATGCGCAAGAATTCAGATTTTCTATCGCAAATACTTGATCAACAGTTGGCGGCCAAGGAGCAGCGGGCCAAAGCGCACAAGCGACGCACATCGTACGAGGAGTTCAAGCGTCTTGTGCGCGAAATCGATGCCAGCGGCGACATGGAGCAGCCGACGCTGGAATGTCAGCTGGACACACCCACAGCAACAGCAACAACAATAACAGCAGCAGCAGCAGCAACATCGCCGCTTAAGCGTCAGAATTCGAGACAGCGCAAAAGTTTTGCCTCCTACTTTCTGCCGCGTCGCAACTCGGCAGCCAAAGAGCCAAAGACTGAGCAAATTGAGTTGGCAGCGCCAGAGCAACAACAACAGCAGCATCAGGAACAACAGCAGCAACAACAGCAACAGCAACAACAGTTGCAGTCGTATGCCAAAATGGCCAGCAGGAAAGACAGCTGCAGCTCCAGCGTGAGCTCCAGTGCCAGCTATAAGCGTAATTTTAAAATCTACGATAAGCTCATCTATGGCACCATCTATGACATAATACAGCGCAAGAACGATATCTATCAGTTGACCTATCAGAAGTACGACAAGTACATGACCTACGGCACCATCTATGAGATACTGCACCGCAAGGCGACGCCCATGCAGGGCAGCAACTCCCTGACCACAGGCAGCGCCGACAAATGGCAGCGCAAGAGCCTCAGCTCCATACTAGAACGCGACACGGCAGCAACATGCACAGCAGCAGCAGCAACAACAGCGCTGCAAATGCATAAATCAAATGATGTGATTTATGATATAATACAAAAGCAGCAGCAAAAGCGCGAACAAGAACGTCAAGAGCAAAAGCTGAAACAACAGCAGCAGCAGCAACAGCAGCAGCAACAGGATGCAACAACAGACGCTGCCACGAATTTGGGCACGCATGTCACGCACAAATATGGCACAATTTATGACATCCTACAAGGAGAGAAATTGGAAACCGGCGAGGAGGCAGCCAACACGAAACCAGTTGCTGCCACAACGCGTTTCGTGGTCAGCCATGTGGACGAACAGCAGCAACTGCAACAGCAGCAGCAGCAACATGCCGCCGACAGCAGCAATGTTGCTGCCGACACGAAATGCAGCAAAATGCGTCGCTTGTCCAATATTCTAAGCTACAACAAATCAGGCAGCAGCCATGCGCCGCAGGAAGCCGCCAGCAATGACAGCAGCGAGCAACAGCAGCAACAACAGCAGCAGCAACAACAACAGCAGCAACAGCTGCTGGCCAAACGCAGCCAGGCGAAGCGTCGCGTTGGCGTTAGCAATCTGCTGCTGCCGCTGGACTCCGAGGAGCTGTACACGCGCATTATAGCGCAGCAGCGACGCGCCGGCGGCAGCAACGGCAGCAGCAGCAACAGCTCGGGCAGCGATGCCGACTGTCATATGGCGCTGACGAAATCTAATTCACTGGATGCCATATCCATGTCCGTGGCCATTTCCCCGCCAGCCACGCCCTCGCCGCCACGACCACGTCGCAGTCTCAAGCAGCACAAATGCCTGCAGCAGCAACAGCAGAATCAACAGCAGCAGCAGCAACAGTTGCTGCCGCCGCTGATGAAGAAGCATTCGCTGGACAATTGCCTGGCGGCGCCCAAACAGCCGCAACGTCGCTGGTCGAATCAAACGCTGCTCAAATGCACCTGCCACACGCTCGAGGAGCTCAGCCATAGGCCCGGCCATAGCCATAGCCATAGCCATTGCACTTGCCCAACGCCTCCCACAACAGTCAGCCCGCATCCCCACCCGCCCCCACCGACGCCGTCGTCTCATGGATTGTCTGTCATTGAGAAGTGCCGCTCGCTGCCCGCCGCCTGCTCGCATACGTGCGTAAATTTAATCCCCGGCTGTGCCGATGCGGCGTCTGCCAAGTCTAACAGCAAATCCACAACAACAGCAGCAGCAGCAGCAACAAACACGAAAACTACAACAACGACAACAACAACAACAACAACGCAACAGCTAACAACGTTGACTGTCAAGAAAGGCAAATCGCGTCGACTTTCGGAATTTACGCGTGGTGAATTTTTAAATGAAAAATCGTAAGTTTCCAGACCCTTCCCGCTCTACCCCACCCCGCACACACACACACACACACACAGTTTATATTCATTAACTTATGATTAGACTATTGACAATAACATTTTATACTATACTATTTTTTTTTTGGCTTTATAGACTTTGCCTTGCCATTTTTCATTTCATTCAGCAGCTTTTTTTATGGCACTTGAAAAGTAAAAACGCTTTGCCAAAAAAAAAACAGGCAGGAAACCTAAAAAAAAGCTTTATTCAAATATTGAGTGATATATTTCAAGTATTTAGAGTATCGCCAGTTGCTGACAAAACAAAGCAAAACTCGAAATGAATCTAAGATTGAATTCTTCTACAAATTTACTCAGACAAAATTTACTCTACTTTTCTAAATAGCTCTAAATGAATCGTAGATTAGATTCTTCTACAATTTTCGTATACAAAATTTACTCTAATTTTCTAAAAAGCTCTGAGCTTTAATGAATTTCTTCCTCAAATTTACCCTCTGCAAGCGTATAAAACTTCCCAAATGACGTCACGCTCAGTGCATTTGCACTTGTGGGATTTATGGTGCCCCAATGGGCGTCACACCCATTCCGGGGCACCATACTAATTGTATTAGATCCAGACACAGCTGTCAGGTATTTTTTTTTTATTATTATTTTCTGTTTTCATTCCACAAATGTGTAGGCCAAAAACGTATGTAAAAATTTTGCAGTACATGACATGACTTTCATTCTGTAGAAAATCTTGAAAAAAAAAAATATAAAAAATAAACCAAAGAGTGACTAATCAGAATGCTATTAGCAATAACCAGGCACTTGACCATTGAAAAATAGAGAGAGAGAGAAAAAAACCAACTAATAATTGAAATTCAGAATAATTGTTTATGTATGACAAATGCAAAATAAAAAAAAACCTCACACATGCGCAAAACACACCCAAGTGCGGAGACGTTCTAGTGTATTGTGTTTGTTTACAAGTAGGTGGTAAAGTGCCTGGTAAATATTTTTTTGTAATGAAACAGCTTCTGCTTAATAACTATGCCAGTGTGTCTTGCTCCCACTCGTTTCTCTCTCCCTCTCTCTCTCTCTCTCTCTCTCTCTCTCTCTCTCTCTTTGATTTGTTGTTGTTTTAAGCGATCTTTCGCTTCCATGTTGTAATCGTCGGCAATGTCACGTCTTTATGTTATTAACCTGCCAATTATTTGACTATCAAAAATCAGTCAGGTACGTGGCCCAAAGAGCAGCTACTCCTCAATATACCTTCGGGTATTTTTGGTACCGTTTTGTTTTCAGCTGTTGCCATGCCCCAAAATGCACAATGAATGGGAGTAGAAAAAAACAAAAAAAAAGTCGTGACAATTTTCGAGACATGCTTTAATTAAGCGCTAAACAAACATGGCTCGACACATTTCAAACTTTGTTGCTTTGGATTTTGATTTTTAGCTTTTTTATTTTATTTTTTGTTTTGTCTCAACTTGTACGTTTTCTTTGAGTTTATCACCAGGTTTGCAGTTGTTTGCTGTTCCCTTGTCTGGCGCTTGTCTCATTTGAGGTTTTTCGGGCTTTTTGCTCGAGTGGCTCAACACGTGTGCCCCGAAACAAGTACAAAATATTTGTACAACTTCGTGTATTGATATGCAAATTGGGCAACTGAACCAATTTGAAATGCTTTTTGGCCTTGAAGTTGACTTGAATTCAATTTGTTTGACGAGTATGCTAGAGTACATACATATATGTACATATATGTAAATATCTGCATAATCATGAGAAAACATCTATTCAGGGCAAGATTTAAAGAGGCATTAACTTAGGGATCGTAACAGATATATCTATTATATGCAACAGTATTGAATAGAGAAATTATGATAATATACGACAAAGGAAAAATATGGCGTAGATTAGCAAAAAGTAACAAACTTTATACTTGAATAACATTTGTTTTTATTGTCCAATTATTATATATTGTACATGGCCTTAAGCTGGCTGCCAAATATGGCTATATACCAAAAATTTTGCATACTGTAGGCCAGTTAACTGGAAGACTTAATCTGCTTGAACTCTACAAGAACATAAATACCAAATTTTGTGGCTCAGTTTTGCGTAGCTCAGTATTTATTTAAGGTTTCATGTCTGTAATCGATGTATATCGATTTATGGACCAAAAACCGAATATAGCTTAAAATAGTAGGGCAATCTCGTAAATCTGGTTCATTTAAACTTGGCTGCCTTTAAAATGACTTCTTCTTTTGTTTGTCTCTTCTTCTTCAATTTGTCTGTAATCGATATATATCGATTTATGGACCAAAAACCGAATATAGCTTAAGATAGTAAGGCGATCTCGGAAATATGGTTCATTTAAACTTGGGTACCTTTAAAATGACTTCTTCTTTTGTTTGTCATGAACAATTTGTCTGTAATCGATATATATCGATTTATGGACAAAAAACCGAATATAGCTTAAGATAGTAAAGCAAACTCGTAAATCTGGTTCATTAAGACTTGGCTCCCTTCAAAATGACTTCTTCTTTTGTTTGTCTCTTCTTCTGCAATTTGTCTGTAATCGATATATATCGATTTATCGACCAAAAACTGACTATAGCTTAAAATAGTAAGGCAATCTCGTAAATCTGGTTCATTTAAACTTGGCTACCTTTAACATGGCTTCTTCTTTTACTACTCATAAACAATTTGCAACTGCAAGCGCATATTTTAGTCGCCCAATAGACCAAATGACTGTTTGCCACCCACATGGAGAAGTCTACAATAAAAATTTAAATTGGAGGTCGCAAATTAAAAAAAACATTAGAAGTGGCTAAAAAAAAGAGTGCATTGGGCAACGGCATGCCAGACGGAAATTTGCTGACTACTTTTCAGGCAGTCGCAGTATATATATATACGTATATCGTATATAGGCTATATCTATTGTTCATTTTTCCATGTGTCTTCTATATGTCGAACTGTTAATTTGCACTGACTGCAAATGGCATGGGTGTGGTTGGACTTGTGTGTGTGTGCGTGTGTTTGCGTGTGCGGCTTAGTCGAGCCGCCCAACTAAGCATTGGAATTGTAACGCCCACTCGGCCAAATGCTCATCATTAGCTTTCAGCGTTTGCTTTTGATCGGATTATTATATAAGAGCGCAGCGAATGCAACGTACAGCACGTGATTAATTCAATTTATAAGGCGTGCGTACACTCAAAATACTTGACAATTATTTTCGAACTGCACTCAAGCGTTGCCATAACGACAAATACGTACTTTGAACCAACCTGCCCAATTGTGAACAAGATATCGATATCGCAACTGCGATACATTTGATAATTACTATAATTTGAGATCGAATTTTTATATTCACGACAATTGTCGTGCAAATTATATGGGTTAGTCATGCTAGAAGTGGATATATTCATGTTATGGTGGTTTAAACACTGTGTAGGGATCTATATTCTAATGCTAAACTGAAAGAGAAACTAGAGAGTATATTATTATGATATTAATTATATATACAGCGGGCCCAGAAACGAGAAGCGGGAACTTCTTTATGCCTAAAGGTATTTTTTTTTGAGAAATTATTTAATATTCTCTGAAATTGTTCCAAATAATTTACCAAATTTTAAATAGAGTTCATAAGTTCAAACATATCGGAAATAAGCAAAAACTATCTGAACCTCAAGCCAGCTAATTGAGGAGCAAACATTCTACAAGGAAGTTGTAAAGTAGAAGGAAGTTGTCAACTAGATTATAAGTTCATTTGAATAACCAAATGAACTAGTAAATTAGCGTTGCTTTAAACATTCAACTTCCTATATACAGTTGTATACAGTTGTTATCGATTATCGATAGGCACTCGAATATGCATTACTGTAGTCAAAGAGTTGCCATACAGTTAAAAAGTTAAATTTTTTGACTAGTTCTCATCTAGAATATATTTACAATATACACATATCCTCTCAAACACATTTACAGGGTATCTGGACAATTAAAAACATTGAATGCAGCCAATTTCCCATTGTTTACAGTTGTGTACATGCACAGAACAATAAACTCAGACCCCTCTCTATATATATACTATTCATAAATACGATAATAAACTCATGATTTCTGTTTTACCTTTCTATCGAAACACAGGCCCAGACAATGCAATTGACATTGAACTGCATGCAGCTTGGCTCTGATTTCATCGGTATATAACGAAAAATGCTGCTGCAGTTGATTTCAAATAGATACAAAATAAAAGTATTTTAGCTGACATTCACGCGCTAGCCATAATTTGCTAGCCAAATTATCAAGACTTAAATTACATTTGCGTGCTGGGGGAAAAAGGGAAAGATAGAACTCGCGAGGGGGTGGCGGGTGTGGACCGTGTGCTATAAACAGACAGCATTTGTATACCCTTCAAGAAGGGTATTTTTATTTTGTCACCAAATGTGTAATGCATAGAAGAAGACATCATCGACTACTCAAAGTTGTATATTCTTTTTCGGCATTAACAGCCGAGTTAATATAACTATGTCCGTCCTTCTGAAACTTTGCCTACATTGGTCTGTCTATTGCAGAGAGTATGGATGCCGAATTTAGCCAGATCGGGCTACTATATCATATAGAAATCATAGTAATAATTAGTCGAACTGCAGGCTGTATGTGTGTCGGAATTGGAACATTATATTTTAAAGCTATCCTAGGAATGATCAATCGAATTATAGGCTTTATGTGTGTGCCGAATCTGGCCGGATCAGGACACTATATCAAATAGCTGACATATACATGATAGGTCCAACATGAACTTCTTGCAGGAACAACTTTTTCCTTTGCCAAGTTATTTTGACCAATCTTGAGATTCGAGAGCTTTAACAAGCTCTAAAGGTTTAAGCCAAATCTTAACAAGGTCGGACTACTTTATCATATAGATATATAGCAAAAATCAATTGTATATTCACTTTTGTTGACCAAACTCAGCAATTGCAAGCTTCACTATCCACCCAAAAGTACGCTTAACCATATGAAAG